TCAAGGCTCAGGGGTCATTTTCTGCGATTCACAGAGTGCACTCCAGGATCAGAACACTCCTAGACAAAGGTGCAGGAAATATTGCAAATGACATCAGGATAAACGTGTATCGTGAAAAAGAATGAGGCCATGATATACGTTTTGTGAGGAATCCATCGCATGTTGGAATCCCTAGGCATGATCATGCTGATCGCCTAGCAAAATCAGCATGTGGCTAGGATTTTATACATCATTAAAGCTTCATTTAAAGAGGACTCGACTGAGTTGATTAATTCTTAACGCCCTGAAAGCTGTAGCATAAAGCACTATGACCGGTTTACGCAAGATTCATTCATCTATGGTTTATATAAAACAAGACAGTGTGATATTCTGACGGTAAGCAATGGACAAAACAAAACTAATCGTTTTCTTATGACATTGCATCAAATGTGTCAAAGTTGGCCTCGCCTGTGCAGTTTAACCCGTGTTGGAGAGGGGGTTAAATAAAGGACAGAGCTATTTCGCTTCGTCTTTGTTTATCGAAAAGGACATCGAGTAGTGGCGCTTGGCTCTCCTCACTGAGAGACAGCCTTACCAGTTGATGAATCACAGGAATAAAGGAAGGTATCTGTAGAATGATTCGGGTTCTCGTAAATCATAAGACACCTGGAATGGGCAGAAGAAGATTTAAGACAATATTATTGTAGAACTAAAACATACAGCGAAATTCTGCCTCTGCGACTAATTTCCCTGGATTGTGTCTGCGGCCGCGGTTATTCCTCTACACAAACATGATGTGATATTTTGACTGAGTCAAAAGTCGTTATTTCGCTCCCGATATCGCGGGTCCGCTGGACCGAATGAGGTGACATTTTTCCGTTAGTGTTGAATCTCAATGCAGCATGCATGTACACACCAACACACACACGTAAGCGTACATGTACGTACATATATACGCACGTACACCACACGCAAACACATCTCGTCCTGGATACAATATTCCGATCCCGCTTGTTGCAAACGCATTTCATCCCTTCTACAAGAAAATTAGAGCAATATTGCCGCATTCCTTGATTTGTAGTTGCACTTTCTCCAATCCCAAACTAATCATGATCTTACATGTGGAATTCCTCCATATAAGACATGTGTTTACTAAACAGTTCTAGTTTTATTCCAATTAATACAAAATGTCGGATTTCACAAAGGGTATCTCGTCAACTTGATTCTCACAGATTCTCACAGGTATAAAAAAATTGGGGGAAGAGCTGCCAACCGTGCAATAATATATCTGTCAGTTTATGCAAAACAATAATGTCGTTAATATTCGCATAATAAAATCCTCTCTACATGTATCATTAATGAAATTCGACGGTGCAAGCGTGACTTTATGACTGGGTGCCATGTCTTCACTGGTTTTGCAACTTCTTGCTATTATCATCATTAGTAGTAGTAGTAGCAGTATTAGTAGTAGTAATAGTAGTAGTAGTAGTAATTGTATGATTATTTTCATTGTTAGTGCTGTTATCACCGTGGGGGAGACACTGCATGAGAACTACCTGGGGGCAAGTTCCAGTGTGTATCTCCTTAATATTTAGCATGATTCATTTTAAGTAAACATTGAACTAAAAACAATTGAAAATACTAAGAGATAAAACCAGAGTCCTAATAACTGTTATTTTAAAATGAATGAATAAGAGTGAAGTGAAGTGATAGGCTACAGGCTTAAGTTAACAGTTGAGTCCTCAGGCAAAAGGCGTAAATAACAAAGAAAAAAAAATCTTAAACACGGTGGCGTGCATCTCTAAGTAAGATTTAAAAACAAATGGCAAGGGTTAAAAGATAGCAAAATCACAGGAGAATAAAAAAAAAAAAAGCACAGCCAAGTCCTGATGGATAAGAAATAGAAGTAAAAACACCTAGGCTTCGTGTTATTGTAACTCTGGCAACCGGTGTTCTCAGTTCAAAAAGAGGGGTATTATTACACACACCGACTGCTATAGATTGACAGTATTTGGCGGTAAATTGTGTTAATGGCAGAAGATGATGCAAATTGTCATCGTTATCATTATTCCCTGCCATGATTGTCAAGCTGCTTATCAACATGATCGCTGTAGTTAAGTTATATCATAGTTGTATTTAAATTGATATAACACTAAGATATTCATTATTTTCATTCTTGTTATCGCTACTTTTTATTATTAGCGTTAATTTTACTATCACAGGTATATCATTATCATACTTTCCTTTTTTCGTATCATGATCTTCATTATCATTGTGCTTATTATTGTCATCATTATCATCGTTGTATGTATATCTCCAATTTATTATCAACGTCATCATCTCTTTCCTCTGCATTATCAACATCATTATTTTCATCTTTATTATCATTCGTTATTATCCTTACCACCATTATCATTATCATCATCATCCTTATCATTATCGTCATCGTTATCACCATCATCACTATCACTGTCATCAGCACCATTGTGTAATATCTTTAAAATCACCATCATCACCAGTCACCATTCCTGCAACACCATTATCTGTACATAACTGCTATCGTCGCCTCCGCCCCTATCACCTCTATTATCACCGTTAGGATGTCTCTCCCTTCAGCATGAAAATACTTTCCATTTCAAAACTCTAAAAGGGATTTCGTCTACAGATCTCAACTTACTCTTTTAAAGATTTTGCTGTGAATTTCGTCAAACTTCATAATTTTTTTCCCCCTAGCATTTAAAGGACGAAGAGATTTTGAGGAAGAACTGCTTTGCTATATAAAATACGCATGCTTTTTTGCTAATTTTCTTGCCTAAAAAATGTTTAGTACATGTCTATTTGTGTGTATCCCCAGAGGAGTAACATGACTCTTCTTCTTACTAAAGGAAGTTCAGGGCACTCCTTGGGCCCTCTAGCCAATGTCCCAGTCCTTGGGCAAGGCATAGTAACTACTGACCCCCATCAGTAAAGCGTGAAACCATTGGTGCAGGTGGAGGACGGAGCTTCAAGCAGATACGTTTATGGTTAATGCTCGGAATACCAAGATTCTCACTTGTGTGAATTCGATGGTCAGGATCCTCGTCTTGCAGAAGACACTACTAACCAAAGAAGGTAATGGGAATCACCCTGGTCATCATTTACTTCATAAACACTACGAGTAGTGAACAGCAACACCAAAATCATACATTAATTACAGTGAATAAATTTAACTTTAAAGGAATAGTCCAGAGGGTAGTAGAATGAGTTTTTTTTTTTTACTTTATTTGCAAAAGAAATAATCTAAATAAACATCCCAAGGTATCATTTTGTAAATTCATTCACAACACTAGACTTTATAGCCCTTTTTATCTAGCATTTTTGTTCCTGAAATCCGTCTGCTACAAAATGTTGCCGGTGGCGCCTCCATACGGGTGTGACGTAGTACCATGTATATGGGTCAGGAGATCAGCCATTATTGTGCATTTAATGTGACAAATTTCAATGTCTGGTGACAATTTTAGCCCGCAGGGAACTACCAAACGACAGAGGAAAGATGAAGGCACTCGAGAATTGGATGCGCATAAAGTTAACTCATTCGCGCCGGGTAAAAATGAACAAAAAAAGGGGAAAATGCTGTGCTCATTTTTTATATTTTTTATGAAATTTCTCTACACTAGATGGCTCTGCCTTACCTGATTTCACCTTTACTTGAATTGGCGGGAAAATGTATTTTTGCTAGTGCTTTGAATATCGATGGTTATTTTTATTATAAACATTATAATTACTATAATGGTATAAACATTAGTAACAGCAAAATAAGATAACGCAAAATAATTTCGTAAATTAAAGAAAAGGGTAAACAGGCGAGACAAGCAGTACAAATACAAGTGGAGCCATCTATGTGTGAAAACAATTAAACATCGTGAATGGGTTAATGAAGGAGGAAGACGAGTCGTCAGATTCGGCTTATAACATGGCTCAAATTGGTATCCTGTCACCAATTCTCCTCCTACTTCCAGCTCCCTATCTTCTAGTTCATCACCAGTAAGATCTATTGATTCTGTAGACACAGAATCAATAGATCTTTCACTTTCAACTTCACTGGAACTGCTGTAATCTTGTTGCTCGCCATGTTGTTGGACAATGGCTATACACGGTATGACGTCACGCGATGTGGTGGCGCCACTGGTCGTTTTTGAGGCTGACGAATTTTGTGGGCTTACAAAATAATGTTTATTTTTATTATCCGGGTCTAAATTTTCTATTTGATTTTATTAATGGATAAATATTAACCTAGGCCATCTGTGAATGCAAAATAGTGCACCAGTTCTAGGCTATTCCTTTAAGGCGTATCACCTAGTTTTTATCTCTTTGAAGATTTTCCCCTCGCTTATATTATATGCAGTTTCCTATATCAAGTCATTATAGAAAGAATGCATCTACGGATCAAATGACCATCTTATTGCCTTTTGCAAATGTAACAATGAAACGAATGTAATCGTTCATGCGAGTTTATGTAGTTTTATATATAATCGAAGTGTTTATAGTTGTAGAACATAATGATCAACCGAGCCAGCGATCGGCGGTAGATGTGGCATATGTCTACCCATATAGAAATGTGGGCGACGTTGACAACTGACAACTGAGTATCTTGTGCGTGTGCTTGTCTTTATCATTGCTACTATCATAATTATTCTCTTTATTAAGATTACTATTATCTTCTTTATTCTTATCAGTATTGTTGTTGTAGCTATTATCAATATCGTTGATACTGTTGATATTATTATTATCGTCACCGCCATCAATATTATGATTATAATTGTTATCATTGTCATTATTGTTGTAATTATCCTCATTATTGATAATCGTAATTACTGTTATTATTTTTATTACTTTTATTATTGTTATTGTTATTTTCAATAATAACAACAACAACAACAACAATAATAATAATAATAATAATAATATTAATATCATTATCCTCATTCCTTTATCCTTTCATCACTGAAATTATTTGAGGTCTTTAGTAAGAGGTTTTGAAATATATTCATTATCAATCTTTATTTATTCAATCACTTGCTGCTGAGTGGACTCGGAAGATTTCCATCAGCTGTGCAAAAAAATGAATTAAAAAATCAAGTGAACAAGTGATAATAACATCTTTCCAACAGAAAATCATAAAAAATTGAAAGGAAATAACACGCATCCTGCCTAATCTCCCTCAGCGCCTGTGATGGGTTTGAAGGTCAGGTAAACCCCGTTCTTTGGCCTGAGAATCACGGGGCTGATGGCGAGTTCCGGAGGTCCTTCGTGGCCCGCTGCAGGAGCCATGACCACCGCCTTCAGGAGGGAGGCCAATGCGGTCTTGATTACCATGTAACTGAAACGCTGACCTGTTGAGAAAAGAGATCGATTGTTAGATAAATGGATAGATAGGCATTGAGAGAGATAAATGAATAGATAGGTAGACAGAGATAGATAAATGAACAGAGATAGATAGATAGATAGATAGATAGAGAGAGAGAGAGAGACAGAGAGAGAGACAGGGAGAGAGAAAGAGAGAGAGAGAGAGAGAGAGAGAGAGAGAGAGAGAGAGAGAGAGAGAGAGAGAGAGAGAGAGAAAGAGAAAGAGAGAGAGAGAGAGAGACTTTATTTTGCAAGTATGTCTACGTATAAATGTGTGTATGTGCGCGAGTGTGTATGCGTGTGTACGTGTTATATCAACACACATTCCAACCACTCCTTACCAATGCAGTTCCTAGGGCCGGCACCGAAGGGGAGGTAAGTATAAGGAGTGATCTCATGCTTGTTCTCCGGCAAGAAGCGCTCTGGCCTAAATACTTCGGGGTCCTTCCAGTACTGTGGGTCCCGGTGCAGCGACCACACGGGAATCTCCACCACCGTTCCCTTCTTCACCGCCAGGCCTGTGTCACCCAACCTACTCGACGGGGAAAAAAAAACTTTGAGCTCGTTGTCTTTTAAAAGGTTACGTATTCTGAGTCTCCTGCCACATTTATCGAACTTGATTTTCGTTTAATTTTTTCTATAAAAAAAAAAATCGTGTATCCGTGTATCTACATAATTACTTTTAGGTTACTCTTTCTACATAATGTTTCGAGTATTCATTATCTACATAACCATTGTTTTGTAACTACAGTATACTTACATGTAGTCCTTCACACACTGTCGGTTAAATGCAGTTTCGATGGGATAGAAGCGCAACGTTTCTGAAGGGAATAACAACATTTTGTGAGACCGAAAACCACTAAAAGAAAATCGTGAATAATAATGATGACGATTACGATAACAATGATAATATCATTATCATTGTTGTTATTATTATCATTACCATCATCATTATTATTGTTACCATCATTGTTATCAATTTCATTATCACAGTTATCATCATATATTAATTATTATTATTGCAATTTTAGTTGTAGTAGTATTATTACATTGTTGTTATTACTGTTATCATCATTATTATCACCATTTTTCTTAGCATTATTATTATTTTCATAATCATATTTCGTACAAAACAACAGTAATGGCCATAAACATTTAATACCGAAGCAGACTGACAAACAAACAACCACAGAGAAGAAATGCTCACCGGACACGCAAGCATCCAGGAACTTAGCTTCGGCTACGGCTTCGTAAGAGAGATCTCCTTCGTCGTCTTCGCCCTGGTGGAGGCGCTGAAGGCGTAGGACTTCCTCCCTGGCCTTCTCCTGCAAGTGAGGGTGTTTGGCGAGGAAGTAGCAGCAGAAGGCGAGGGTCGTGGCGTTGTTGTCGTAGCCAGACAGCAGGAAAACCACGGCTTGAGACACGACTGTTATGTCGTCGAGAGCTTGCGTGAGAAAGAGAGGCGAAGACGGAGATAAATAAAAATAATATTGGTAAGGGACATGATTATGGTGATGGTAATGATCGGGGTAGCGACAGTGGTAATGAGGGATATGACTATAATGATGAGAGAGAGAGAGAGAGAGAGAGAGAGAGAGAGAGAGAGAGAGAGAGAGAGAGAGAGAGAGAGAGAGAGAGAGAGAGAGAGAGAGGGTGAGAAGGAGAGAAGGAGAGAGGGAGAGGGAAAACAGAGCAAAAATAAATAAACATAATAAAAGATCTCTACATACCATGCTTGCGGTTCCCAGGGTTCGTCTCATCAGAAATCTTTCTCGATTCGATCATAAGATCGAGAAAATCCCCGCGGTTTTCTCCTGTCTCTTGGCGGTTGTTGAGCGTTGCCGCCACAACCTGCAATGGAGATTTGCATACATAAGTTTATGCCTCTTTTTCTTCTTTTTTCAAGAATTAAAATAGCATGAAATCTTATGTATTTCATCGTTTTCCAATATACTTTCCATGATATATACATATATCATATATCATGGAATTTTAAAACATAATCCATGGAATGTTTCGTATTTTTCCTTTTTTCTAGACAATAGACTCAAATTCCTCTCCACATAAGAACATTTAACGCATTGAACAAATAGCGTTTAATGCTAACCTTAGCAAAGTACATCAGACCCTCGCTAG